CCCCAAAACCCCAAAACCCCAAAACCCCAAAACCCCTACTTTGATAATATAAATTGAACAATTCACAAATGAAGTCGAAGATAGGTTCATCAATGCTCTCACAAGAGAGGTTCAACGCCAAGTTGATCCAAATTCGGAAGCTAAAAGATATAGCTAATGTTAATGAGATGAAGGAGAAGAAGAAACATTGTACAAATGTATGCCTTACATCCACTCATTACTGGATTAATTTTATTTCTACAGAAACTCTTATTTTGCTAAATCAAATCATGGACATATGGAGCCTAACAAGTTTAATGTATAGACCACAAAAAGGAAAAAGAGAGACTCCTTAAGTAATTTTGCTGTTGCTTTAAACCTTATTTTGGGAATATTTCATAATTTTAAGCCAAAATCCACATGAGTAACTTATAGGTTCGATTCCTGGGATTAACAACAACTTCTCAATAAAGAACGAGCGTCTTACAGGTTACTTAGGTCTTGCACCTCCTGAGCAGAAGCTGTTCTCTAGGAACTTGAACTTATGGCTACGCTTAAAGAAAAGGAAGATTAATAGGTCCTTTCATCCATCAAAGAACAAAGCGGCTGTTGCAAGGTATAAAATCTCTTTCTTATTTCTCTCATATCAGCTTGTAAATTTATCAAATTTTCTTTAGCAAGAAGACTTATTACACGAAGAACGCTATAAAATATATAAATAACTCCAAGGAGAAATAACCATGTGCATGATTTTATGAAGTCTCTTTCAGTCAGGAAATCGTTGGGAGAGCCTTCTTCCCAGCAGCCGTTTATGACAGAGGTCAAAGGTAGGCGCATGTTGTACCCATAGTACCACAAACATCTCGCAGGAATAGAGGGGATGGCTATTTTAAAGACGTTGTCTCAAAAATTAACAACCGAGTTGAGAAACTGACTGATCATAATTTTCATAAAATTATTCTTGACTCTTACCAGAAAAAATTGGATGAAAATCCCTTTAGTAAGACTTAGCTATGATGCTTCATAGGACTGACATTGAAGACTGATGAAGATAATGATTGCAAATTAGAAAAGATGCCTGCTTCTGTAAAGGAGTGATACCAAATCATCCAGAAATCAAAATAAGAATTTGCCAAAATCCAGTTCTAAAACCCCAAATCAGTCTATAAGATCCTCTAAAAGCCGTAAAGTTAGGCAATTAACACCTGTAGTACAATGCAAGAAGGGTAAATTTAGAATGAAAGGGAAGATTTACCCTCTAAGTCCATCGATAGATAGAGTCCTGAGTGAAGTCAGAAAGGAGAAGTTCAATAAGCAAAAGATGCTTACCCATATTAACAAAAAGGTATTTGACTAACTTTAATATGTAGATTATGCACACAAAGTTCCCTTCAACAAAATTTATCAAGGAAGATTTTGACGAATTTGTGCCAGATTGCTTTAAAGATCGCATTCTGAACCACGACACCAGCTATGAATCTGAAGAAGAGAACCCTATGCACAGGCTTAAGAAGGAGGAAGCTAATGAATTCTATAACATTGTGAGGAACATCTTCAGTTCTGCGAATATAAGCTTGAAAAATGAACAACTTTATTCTCCATTTTTAGAAGCTCTGATTAAGAATTACTCAGTTAGGTTGAGCAATATCAATAATGAAAACTCCAATTCTAAAAAGCTTGAGAAAAAGGAGACTTATGCAGGAAGTATGTCGCCCATGAGCCCGGGGTTTAAGTACCAGACCAAGCAAGTGCACCTGCTTGATATGAAATCTAGCAGGAGTATTTCTGAGATTAGAAGCGCTCAAGAGCAGCGAAGAGATGAAGTAAACCGGTCATTAACCTTTAGTACCCTCTTAAATTTCTTGGTCCTGATAAAAATGAGCTGGACAGTAAGAACATCAGGAAGATTTACAAGAATGAGCTACGGATGAGGAACCATGAAAAGGATTTCCATCCACTTGATAAGCTGTGCATGGAAATAATGGGCCCACAAGGGTCAAAAGAATGGCTGAGTAACGATATTGATTTCATCGGTAGTCTTTTTGCTATATTTTTAGATGATGTTTTGTCCAAAAAGACATACCAAAGCATGAAAAAGCGTAGATTTATGAATAGTAGAGAGAAGCAAAGAGACCAAGACAGGGAAAAATATGAGCCAAAAGTCTGTGAAGACATGCTTGATTGAATAAAGACTCTCAGTTAGCTTTCAATCTAGTTCTTATAAATAGGGGTTTTGGGGTTTTGGGGTTTTGGGGTTTTGGGG